CAAGAATATATATACTTTGTGGGGTCTGCCACGCCTCCTTCTGCCTGTTACACACATTTCAACAAAACCATTATACCCTCATTTCCCATTTTCAATGGGTTCAGGGTATAAAAAAATATATATTTATACATATATTACAAATTCAGTTAGAAAACCTTTCACAGATTCTTAAAATGTTTCCCAGAACCATCTCAAAAAGAATAATATACCAATTACCAACATTTTCGGTAATTATAAAACAATAATAACAATTATATATAGCATATGTGTATCAATGTTGTCTAAGTAATTCTTAAACAAACCATATTATAGCATGTAGATATATTGCTACAGAGCTCTGTAGTTTCTGAAATTGTACACTTAGCAAATCTTGAAGCTGACTAGATTCAGCAAATAATAGTCGATTATACATTTGCTTTGATCATAGTTACCCCCTCCATACTCACCACGATTTGTGTTGATGCATAGCTTTAAATCACATTAAAAGAGATAAAAAAAAAAATTATGCATATATACATCGCATATACGTATATTTGAGAAATTTATGATAAAAAGACATTGAATTTTAAGAATAATTTTTTTTTAAATACTCAAGAAAAATTATATGTATATATATATATATTTCTAACATTATGTATACATAAATTGTAGGGTATATAGTAGTCAGGACGTTTTTTTACTTGACGTTGCTTTTAGATACGATTTTTTATTAGGGGGCTTTAGGATGACAGAATAAAATCATAAAACCATACAGTTTCTTTTTGCTGCATCAGATTTATAATAAATGGTATTATATATTAGGTTCCGTACGTTTTCTGTTTTTTTGTTAAATGAATTCTCACACTAATCTATGGTGAAGTGTCGAGTATGTAAGACTTAAATCAATGCATCGGTAGATGGATCAATTTATTAATTTGATTTCCATAGTAGTCCATGTATTATATCTCGACAGCTGTTTAAAAACGACGACGTCCCCATGGAACATTATTTCCACCATTATTTCCACGTTGATTGCCGCCTTGGTTCATATTGTTAACCCCAAATTCAAAAGGAGTGAAGGAGTCCTATTTGAACAAGAAAAGTACAATTGTTCAATTCATTCGTTACTGTTTGTTCTATGTACAAGCAACCCCATGACTAACAAAAATTGATAGCGTAAATATAATTTCAAAGTAAAATTTCGCCCATTATCAGAGGCTAACTCGCAAACATTGTAAAAACCAGCTTAACGGCATATTAGCTTCCTAGACATGTGCCACATGAGAAATATCAAATATAATCATCCCCCCCTCTCTCAATATTAAACAGATTTTCCAACACTTCAAGCTGGACAAAGACAATCGCTTCATATCAACAAAGTCTAAATAAAATCGCAGTTCGCAATACTGACTGAATCGAATGACGAAGACTACGTTCTACAGTAATGTCTGCATACAATAAAACATGGAAAAATATATATCGATGAAGACTATTTACGTCCATCATAGAACTTGATACAAGATAAATAAATAACTATGTATATATATGACCCACACTGACATGTAAAACTCTAGTTTAATGCGATAACCCTCTGCAATGCCTAATCTAAGGAGAATTAGTTATGGAAGTTAATTAAAGCCACATGTCTGAGAAGGAACCATGTATATGTATACAATGATATGATCATACCTGCTGTTGATTGTTTCCACCGGGCCCATTGTTGCCTGCCATGGATGAGTTGTTATTACCTAAATTCCAATGCAATGCAATAGCTTAAAAATTGTTTTCTAATGACCGCTAGCAAGCCAGCAACTCACCTCGGAATACTTCAAATGGCGAATTGCTGTTACCTCCAAAATTGTCGAAGTTTGCATTGACACCACCGCCACCGCCGCCGCCGTTATTGCCACCGAATCCTTCCTGCTGATCAAGCAACGAATTTAGTTGTTGAGCCTGCATAAACAATGTGTTTTCCTGCTGGCGACGCCGCATATCCTCCTCCTGGCGCACCATTCGGCTCTGCATTTCAGTCTGATGGCGACGCATGGTTTCCTCCTCGCGTTTTCGCATCTCCTCAGCCTGCTTCTCACGCATTTCCCATTCCAACTTCTTGCGCTCATTGTCAGATTCGCGTTTTCTTAATTCTAAAAAGATAGTCCGGTATTAGCTAACGAATTGAATCCTGCATCACGATCGAAAGGAAGCTGACGAAATAAACAACCAGGCGCCACACATCTCGATCGCCTTACCCACAAAGCCCATTTTCATAATTCGTAGACATTAGGTGCGCAGACAGTAACAATTAATTATCAAATAAAGGATACTTGAGCTTCCTATGTGTTTACTATTTTCAGGTGTATGTAAAGATCATTGTTGACTGTATATATATATATATATATATATATATATATGTATATATCGACACATATAGACATATTATCAGAAACAGTTTATTAGATTAGGCGGGAACATAGCAGATTGATTCCCCGGTTTATCAGTTATTCAATGAATTATTATTATAATATAGCATAAAATGCGCCTTATTATAATAAGGAACACGATGTTCATAATGTACAGCCCAAAAAGCATGCTAACAAGCTTTGCATGTTATTAAGTGAAGCCATATTAGCCGAAATCCATAAATAGAACATATGTTCTATTTATTTGGAATATTCCAATAGCAACAAATTGCACAGGCATCACACACTTCATTAACTATTTATATAATATATATATATATATATTATATAAATAGTTACGAGTCTTTAGTTTAGCTTCTAGATGGAGAATTCAATCTTGACTATCATGTATTACTGACCGCTTATTGTCAATATACAGCTTTCGTTTCAGAAATTACAATGATTATAAACTCGACTCATATGGCATTGATTTAGACGCTTTCAATCTCAAGTGAGCGACATTTTAGGTGTTAGCAAAAGTCTAAGGCTGCAAACATAGTGCGCGCTGAGCCGAATGCGAAGATGAAGACGAAAAACTGTGCAGAACTAATCATATAAATTTGCCCACTCGCAAATATAGTGCGCGCTGTGATGAGGACGAAGATGAACGCAGCTTCAAACGCTGCTGTACTGATTTTGAAGACGAATCGTATGCTATTTGACCCAGTCTACTTAAATCTATATCCAATCAATATTCTGATAATGCTTTACCTTCATATGAACCGAGCACTTACATCAGGAAATATTATTACTATTAATATTATCAAGTACTAGAGACTTCAGCTTTGGAATGTACACACATTTTGACCATATGATTGCGCTCTGAAAATTGCATTAAGATTGTTTGTCCACAAAAGAAGTTATTAACCAAATAAATTGTCATACTATTGACCACACTGCGCAGTTAACAGAGCGCGGGCGCGTGAGGGTGGATGTATGTGTGCGTGCATAAAAGAAGGGTTCAGGGTATCTCCGAGTCAAGCAGTCTCGACTAGAGACTTCTTACTTGTTCAAAATTAGTTATGACAGTAATTACAAGTAAAATTCAATAAAATGAATACAAAATTTATTTTAAAAAATTTTGTACCTTAACCGTAGGCTAATTTAACAGTACATAATTGGGGTTTTATTAAAATCAGTCCAATTTCTAATAATCAGTCTTTCAATTTTTATTGAAATGTAATTTGCTTATTTTTTTTTATACCCTGAAGCCATTAAAATCGGAAATCAGGGTATACTGTTTTTGTTAAAAGTATCTAACACGCAGAAGGAGGCGTGGCAGACCCCACAAAGTATATATATTCTTGATCAAGGCGACGAGCTGGCGCTACTAAGGCTAGAGACCTGAAATTGGGAACACTTACTCGTGTATATCTCCGAATTATAAAATTTAAATTTTCCCGATCCGCCCACTAGGGGCATGGCGAATTGGAAAATGCACTTTCCGAAATGCCAGAAATCATATTAGTTGAAGAGCAAGAAAGCTGAAATTTGGAATGTAGATCCGCATCGACTACCCAAGATTACGAGCTATGGCGGATATATCTACGCCCATTGGGGGCGAGGTAAATTAAAAATTAGCACGTGAGCTAATGTACAAATTCTATAATGAAACAAGTTAGAAGAATCTAGTTGATACTGCTCTACTAAAAGATACTCTGAACCCTCCAATCTGATATTCTAATCACTCTGCACTTCTTTTAGGCACACATATATACACACGCACGTATTAGAACGCGCTCTGCTAACTGATCAATCTCAATGAAACTTTCAGAACTTAATCTTAACCTTTAACAAAGGTAAGGGTGAGGGGGTGGATATAGGGGTGGGGTTAAACTACAGCAAAAATCGAAATTATATAAAATACACATACAGCTGCGAAAAATAAAATAGCACCACTTGCATATTCGAAGTTTGAGGAGTTC